CCCCGGGGCGCGGGGCGGGCGGGGGGACCCGGAGCGGCGCGGCCCCGGCGGCGCCCGGCGCTCTCCGTGGTGCTGATGGCGGCCGGTAACGGGCTGCGGGTCCGGCCGGGGCTGGGGGGGTCTGCGTGTGCCCTGTGTGTGCCCTGTGTGTGCCCTGTGTGTGCCTTGTGTGGGTATCGCTGTGTCTGCGTGGGCGTCCTCACGCGTGCTGCATGGATGTGTCTGTGTGTCTCCATGTGTGTGCGTGGGTGGGTGTCTCCATGTGTCCCCATGTCTGCACACGGGTGTCTCCGTGTGTGTGCACGGGTGTCTGTCTGCATGTGTGTGTGTGGGTGTCTCCATGTGTCCCCATGTCTGCACACGGGTGTTTCCGTGTGTGTGGGTGGGTCTCCATGTATCTCTATGTTTCCGTGTGTCCCCATGTGTGTACATGGCTGTCTCTGTGTCTCCATGTGTCTGTATCTCCGTGTGTCTCCACGTGTGTAAGTTGCTGTCCCTGTGTCTCTGTGTGTCCCCATGGGTGTAAGTTGCTGTCTCTGTGTCTTCATGTGTCTCCATGTCTGTGCACAGATGTCTCCATGTGTGTAAGTTGCTGTCTCTGTACCTCCATGTGTCCCTATGTGTGTGCATGGATGTCCCCATGTGTGCAAGTTGCTGTTTCTGTCTCTGTGTCCCCATGTCTCTGTGCCTCCATGTGTCCCCATGTCCCTGTGTCTCCATGTGTCCCCATGTGTTGAAGTTGCTGTCCCTGTGCCTCCATGTGTCCCCATGTCCCTGTGTCCCATGTGTCCCCACGTGTGTACACGTTTTGGTGTCTGTGCCCACCTCCAGGTCCCAGTTTGCACTGAAGTTCCTGGACCCCTCGTTCGTGCCCATCACCAACTCCCTGGGCCAGGAGCTGCAGGACAAGCCCTCCAAGTGGGTGTTCAACCGGAGCGCCTTCGCCCACCAGAGGTGAGCAGGGAGCTGGGCACAGCCCGGCTGTGCCCCTGCCCACGGGCAGCTGAGGGAATGCTGAGCACCCCCACATCCGAGGAGCAGACAAAGGCTGAGCCGGAGCTTTTCCCCAGACACTTGCAGCTGTCCTTCCCCAAAGACTTGATTATTTCAGAGCAGGACACCAGGCTGCAAGGCACATCATTGCACTGGGACGTGACCCAGTTTCCTGGCGTGCAGGTGGAATTGTCACTGCTCCAGGATAAATAGCTGTGCTTTAGGAGTGGAAACCCTTTGGCCTGTCACAGCCGTGAAGGGCTGTGTTCATGGAGGCCAGAGGCACACAGAAACTTCCCAGCTGCTGGCAGCTCTGAGCAAGTGCAGGGCTGCTGCTGCCTGCAGCTGCGGGGGCAGGCACAGAGCTCTGTACTCTATACATACCTCTATTTGCTGGTTACACAGATCTAGCATTTCTATAAAGGACAATAAAACCATGTAGCCGTTTAAGACAGCTACTGCCACCTTGGACAGTCGTTTTGTCCTGACAGATTCCTGCTGGTGGCTCTGCTCACGTGTCCCACCTGGGGAGCAGGAATCTGGCTCTGTGCAGGCAGCATGGGGCTGCTGCACCGCTCAGAGCAGGGTTTGGGCTTTTCTCCTCCCTTCAGGCCACGGTCCAAGGGCAGCAGGACAAGTAACTCCCTTCCAGTGCTGCCACACTGCCCTCAGCAGCCGTGGGTACAGAGAGGAGGTGGCACTTAGTCCCACCTTCTCCCCAGGACCCCCAGGCTGTGTGACAGTGGCCGCCCCCAGTGTTGCTCCATCGCTGGCACCAGCAGCTCCATAGGGCTGTTCCTGTGCCACCCCTCTGATGATTTCAGCTGAGGCCTCAAGGAGCTGCCTTTGCACTTGTCCGTCAGCCAGAACCCATAATTAGGGCACCCAGTGGGACTCCATTAATGCTCAGACATTGGAGGATGTGAGCTCCAGGAATGGTTGTTTGTTTTCCATAAACATAAGTAAATAAAGTCCTATTCAGTTTCTAATTTTATGCCCTGCGAGGGAAATTCCCAAGCAGGGTTGGTTTTGTTTGCTTTGTAAGTATCCCTAATAACCCTCCTAAAAGTGCTGCTGTGCTTGCCCAAATATGAATTAAGGAACTCTATTTGCAGAGATGGAGACAGTGACTGTCGCTTGGTTTTGTGATGGGAAGCTTGTTAATGAAAACAGAAATAGAAATATAGATATATATAAATTGTCTCCTGTTAATTCAGTTGGATATCTCTCCTGGGTTTGTTTCACGTGCCTTGTGGCTGCAGCAGGAATGAGAGGCACACACAGCCCCAGCAGAAAGCTGTCCTCACGCTGTGTCACAGCCCAGACAGGGCGATGCAGTGCTGGGTGACTGGGGGATGCAATGGGAGCTGCACCCCTCATCCTAATCCCATATTTTAATCCTGACACTATTCCAAGAGGCACAGGCACAGCCTGAGCTGGCACCAGTAGAGAGCAGCTGGTAAATCCAGGTGGAGCTCTAGGTGAGCAGCCAGCTCCCTCATTCCCACCTATTTATATTGATTTTAAAGCCACTGCACCATGTTGATCAGGAAACTATTTCAGTACACTTAAAAAAAAAAAAGGGAAAAATGTAAGTCTAGGTGGAAAACAAATCCACTGCAAAAAAGGGGAATTAGGACTCCATGTTTTCTGTTATTTTGCTCTTGTTTTAGGCAAGAAATCCTTCAGCACGTTGACGTCATCAAAAACTTTTCTCTGGTCAAGAGCAGCGTTCGGATCGGGCAGCTGATGCACTACGATTACTCCAGCCATAAGTATGTCTTCTCCATCAGCAACAACTTCAGGTCTCTGCTTCCCGACGTGTCTCCCATCCAGAACAAGCACTACAACATCTGCGCCGTGGTTGGCAACAGCGGGATCCTGACTGGCAGCCAGTGCGGGCAGGAAATCGATAAGTCGGATTTTGTCTTTCGCTGCAATTTTGCTCCAACTGAGGCTTTCCAGAAAGATGTTGGAAGGAAAACCAACCTCACCACCTTCAACCCCAGCATCCTGGAGAAGTATTACAACAACCTCCTGACCATTCAGGATCGCAACAACTTCTTTTTAAGTTTGAAAAAGCTCGATGGGGCCATTCTCTGGATCCCCGCTTTTTTCTTCCACACGTCGGCGACGGTCACGAGAACACTGGTTGACTTCTTCGTTGAGCACAGAGGGCAGCTGAAGGTCCAGCTGGCTTGGCCAGGAAACATCATGCAGCACGTTAACAGGTGGGTGGGCTTGCCTTGCATTTAATGGCCAAATACATCTCTTTGTACAAATGCATCTCCTAACTGATTTTTCCAGCCTGATGTGGGAGGCACAGTCCGGCCATTGTTGTCAGAGGTGCTGAGGTTTTGTGGTTGCTGTTCTGAAGTTCCAGTAGCTTCTGAGCAGACTGAGAGTCACGCCCGTGTCTCCACAGGTACTGGAGGAACAAGCACCTGTCCCCAAAGAGGCTGAGCACAGGCATCCTCATGTACACGCTGGCTTCGGCCGTCTGCGACGAGATCCACCTCTACGGCTTCTGGCCCTTCGCCTTCGACCCCAACACGCGGGAGGACCTCCCCTACCACTACTACGACAAGAAGGGAACCAAGTTCACCACCAAGTGGCAGGAGTCCCACCAGCTGCCTGCAGAGTTCCAGCTGCTCTACAGGATGCACGGTGAAGGACTGGCCAAACTCACCTTGTCGCATTGTGCCTAAGAACCTAAATCTCGAAGTGCCAAACAATTGTCTAAAAAAGTGCCCAAAACCAAATTAAACATTCTTCAGATAGAATTCTAAAAAGGAAACAAACCCACCCTAGAATCTTTTCCATAATTAAAGATGCTTTTTAGCTACTGCTCATCCAAGGGTTTCAGCATATTTAGCGGTGCAGAAGCTTTTATCATGTTCTGTGGATGCGATTTGTGCAGCTGCAAAGTTGAAACATTCTGCATTTCTAGAAGAGCTGCTCAGTCTGTTTTAATATCTGTTCATATTTTAGCGTTCTGCTAACACCCTAAATAATTTCATTGCTCCTTCCCATTAGAGCTAGAAATGCTACTTTTAAGAGGTTTTGCTTCTTTTGTATCTGTTGCTGTCCATAGCTCAGCGTGGCCTGGCCATGGAGGAAGGCACTCGGGGCTCCAGCGCGTCGGCACACGCGAGTTCCTCGGTGTGGATCCTGACCTCCGCCGCTTGGGTATTTCCTATTTACTGAATTTTACATTTTTTAAAGAATAACAAGAAGAAGGTCACAAAGTGGCTCATACCTTAGCTAGGTGTTTATATCACTCTTGGAATACTTCAGTGTTTTAATTCCTTTCGGGACAGATCCTAGTCCTGACTAGACAGACGGAGGCATGTTCATTCCCATCCATCTGATACCATTCTGCCATTTGATTTTACAGTTGAACCACCACAATTCATGCAATTAGGCTTCTCTGGAGACCTCTTTGGTGAGAAAAGCCCCAAACCCCATCCCCCTGCTTGGGCAGGATGGGCAAAAATGGAAGCCAGGTGCTGGGATGTTTAAAAACCAGTTTTTTGTAGGGAAGGAAGTGAGCAGAGCTGGAGTGCAGGGAAGAAGAAATGCCACGACCAAATTCCCCCATTTATGTCTCTAACTCACCAGTCAGACAGCTGGAGCAGTGTCCCCATTTTCCCAGCACCAGCAGCACCCAAGGCAGACAGGGCAGACATTTCCTTGGCAGCACAGGAAATCCATCTGTTTGGGGACAGGACAAAAAACAGGGTCACTTACAGCTGGGAAGTGTTGGCCATTATGTCTCAGGATAAAGGAGCCTGGGAAGTAACTGGGTTTCTTATGAGTATGCTGGCAAGTACTTAACAATTTTTTACTGCTGTGAGTGAGAACTGACCCCACAATGAAAGAAGATGCAAAATCCAGTATTTAAAATGGCACAGGTTGATTTTTCTTAGCTTCTTTGCTTGTGGTCAGACATAGGAAATGAGGAGGAGATCTCCAGCACAACACCCAGGCATGGCCTAGGGCCCACTGTGGCCCTGCAGCCAGAAGGGTTCTCCCCCACACGCCGGGGTGGAGCAGGAGCTGCTGGCTTTCTCCTCCCCTTGAATTATCCCACATTCCCCAGCTGTGCTTTTCCGAAGGCTGTGTAGGGCTGTGGGGGGCCCCGCAGCTGCCCCATGTCCAGAGCTGCCCCAGGCACTGTTCCTGGGGCTCTGGGCAGTCCTGTGCTCCTCACACTTGCTCAGCAGGGTCCAGCTCGTGTGCCTGTGCTCCTGGAGTCACAGGGGTGCAGTGGTGATGCCCCAGTGCTGCACTGAGTCCCCCAGTGCCAGAAGGGCTGTGGGATCACAGCTCTGGGAACCGTGGGGCTGGCAGTGGCTGGGCAGCCCTGGTCCCAGCAGAGCCTGCAGGGACCCTGCTCCCCGTGCTGGAGCACACAGATTGTTTAGCCCCAAACCAGAAATTGCACAGGGAAAGAAGAGCTCTGCACTGGTCATTAGTGAAGTGCAGGAATGAATAATTTCTGATATTGTTTTCCATGGGCACTGGGGTCCATGCTAAAGCAGTGCCCAGCACCCCTAAGCCCACCGGGGCAGGAGCGTCACCCCCAACCCCAAATTACTCTTGTTGGCTTGTCTGAACACCAGATATTTTTACCAAGAGGCCTTTTACCAGTTTCCTGAGGGAACCATAATTTCTCATCAGCAAATTAAAGAAATGGGAGCTATTATCATTCTACTGGCATGAAAGCAGGGACAGTGGGCTCCATGCAGTTTCTGGAACCTCCCATAGTCCTGGAGAGGGGCACAACCCCCTGGGCACAGCCCTGGCATCACCACCAGAACTTTACAAAAGCACAAAGAGCAGAGAAGGAAGCACAAAACTGACTGCAAATATTTGGAAATGGGAATACAGAAAAATTATTGACAGAACGCCATATTACATCATTGATTTTTAAGCAAAACGCCCCATCGATGCTCCAGACCCACATTGAACATTTCAGAATCATTGATTTTAATGGGGAGTTCTGCCCCGTGATCGATGGCACAGCACAGCCCAAAGTAAATTGCTTCTTAGTATCAATATTCTTTTGCAAGGTGGAAAAGCATCTCAAAGTGCACAGCTTTTGTTTTGCCAGGTGGGGTCTGAGGGAGAGGTGAGGATGGCAGGGGATGGAGAAGACAGTGCCTGAGGAGAGGCTCTTTGGGCTGCCTCTGTCCAGCAGAAATGCCTTTGCACTACTGAGCAAGTATTTTATTATTTATTTAATTGTTATTTACAAGGTGCTGGGGGCTTCCCTCCCTGCTCAGGACAGCCAGTGGCATCACCTCAGCTGGCCTCTTCCTTCCCTCTCTTTGGCCCCAAACCTTCCTGCATGAATTCCTGATGGTTCAGGGAGAACTCTCCTTCCCATGACTGAACGTCTAGACAAGAGCTAATGCAGCGTGATCAATACCTATAAGTACAAAACATTTGAGGCTCCAAAATCCAGAGCAGCTCCCTCCATTGGGAGACCCTGCTTGGCCCTGGGCTGCTCAGTGTCCAGGGGCAGCCACATCCCTCTCCAGCCCCTTTGCCAGCAGGATGGGTGCCAAGGTGCTGGGGGTGTACATAGGATTGGGAATACATGTTTCCTCTCTTCTTTTATACATCTTGGGTCTCTATTTTTGTTGCTTGCATCTCCTCGGTGAATGGTAGCAAGGCATGTGAAAACAGGCATTTGGCTACCAGGTTTCATTGTAAGACCAAGCCAAAAGCAAGATTTGTGAAACAGAGTGACTGTGAATGGAGGCTGCAAAAACAGGGCAAATAGGAAAAAGCAGGTTTTCTGTAAATGAATGTGTCTTTATTTCAATGGCTCTACAGTTCAATGCCTGATGGAGTTGTTTTCGATAAAAAAAATATAAATATTACAAAAAAAAAAAAAAAAAAGAAGATGCCATAATTGTAATAAAGGTTTCGTTAGTCAGGGCCATACTACAAGCACTGTTTATTTTCCAATGGCTGACGTTCACAAAGGGCCGGGCAGCTCTCCGGTGAGCGCTGGGAAGGAGCTGCTGCAGCCTCAGCAGCACGGAGAGCCTGGTGGCAGGGCTGGGCTGGCACGGGCTGAGCCTGCCTGCACAGCTCTGGGTGCCCCGGCTGCCCGTGACCGTGCCACGTCCCGCGGGGGCAGCGGGGCTGGGCAGCTCCCGTGTGAGCCCGTGCTGGGTGTGCCTGCAGCATTGACTCGTGTGCCATAACCCGATCCTGAATGCATTGTTTTTAAATAAAATGGTTTCTTGTGCATTGGGAGTCTGTAAAACTCCACTGCCTCTGCTGCTTCTTTTTTATTATTATTATTTCCCAAACTGCTCAGGGCCACTGATAGGTTTTACTGGAAAACTTCACCAGAGGAGTTGCTAAAAGTGTTGCTTAATGCTCCTTATATTTAATTATGCAGTGCAACAAGCTTGGTGTGATGGATCAAATTCTGCACTCCTGTGAAATACGTGAAGATAAAAAGTGTGGCAATGTGGGCACTGATAGGCTCAGGGTATTTGCTCATTAAGGTGAATTACATGCCCAGGAACATCTTCCAGCCCACTGCTGTTTCGTGTTCCAGGTGACCTGCAGCATCCTCAGTGGCAGGAATTCTGCCACGTGTTTTTAGGAGTTCACATGAGTCCCTGAGGCTGGCAGGCACAGGAGAGAGCCATCCCAGATCCTCCGTGCTGTGTGCTTCCCACCACTAATACCCACTACAGCTCACATATTTATCCTTGAGACATCCTGGCAGAGAGGCAGGGCTTTATAGTCCTAGAACCCAGTCTGGGGATGGGGATGGGGTAGGAAAAATCCTTTCCTTCCTCTCCCACGGGTAAACATGAGGAAGGCTCTGCTGGCCCAGGTGCTGGGGCTGGAGGGTTGAACCCCCAGGCCATGTCCAGCTCTGCCTCCATCCCTGGAAGCTGTCCTGAGGGGATGGAGCTGCTCGCTCTGCAGAGAACGGGCTTGTGACAGCAGTTTCAAAATGCCAAAGAAAACACCTGCAGTGTTTGTTTAAAAGCAGGTGGAAATGACACCTGCAGGCCCTGGCCAGCTGCTTTAGAGGAGAACTCCCTGTGCCTGTGCCATGTCCTGTCACCCTCAAGTCACCCTTCCCTGCGTGGTTTGGGTCAGGTGCAGGTGCGAGTGCTGCAGGACACTACAGACAACCCCGGAGAACAAAAGAGGAGAGGAATTAAATTTCATAATCCCAAGGGAGCCACAGCCCACACCAGAAGGATGCTGGGCAGGAAAGCTCAGCCAGGCCAGGTCAATGCCCAGGTTTGTCCCAGCCTGCCATCCCTGGACACCCCACCGCTGCCTCTTTGGGGAGCAAGGGCACCTGGCTGTGGCAGGGGAGGCCTGGCTGCAGGCAGACAGCAGGAAAGCTAACAAAGAAACCCCCTCCTCCCGCCCCCAAAGCCGAGGGAAGCCTCTGGCAAAGGCAGCCATGCAGGCAGGGAACGCTGTCCCGCTGGGCTGGAAGCTGCAGCACCCCCGGCTCCCGGCGCTGCTGCTGCCCGCCGTGCCCGCTGCCAGCTCGGCTTGCCTTGTCCCGCCCGGTGACACAGGACACCCGGCACCCTGCTGGCCCTGAGGGCAGGCACTGCCCCATCGGGCCGGGCCTCCGCTTCGGGTACAACTGCACCACGCACGGGTATTTACACCGCGATTCCCAGGAAGGTTTTGACAGGAATTTGGAAAGACACTACAAACAAAACATCCTCAGGGGACGCAGTCGTCAGGTGCAGGTTTGGAAAGAAAAAGTCAAAGACCTGATGAATTTGTTGGAGAAGGAGAAGGCAAGGCAAGAGGAAAAGAGAGGAAAAGAGAGGAAAAGGAGGACACAGACACCAGCACATCTGCGGCACCAGATCCCCATCGGGGTCTGCCCACCCACCCTCCTCCCCCTGCCCACAGGGGCACCTCCGTCTCCGGAGCGCTGCACTCGCCTCTTTTTTCCCCAAATCAACCGCAACTTTTGCCTTCCTTTAGGAAGGACAAAAAGATTTCACGCATAAGTTGCCCTGAACAAAGGCACCTCACGCCAGAGCTTTCTTTTCTGTCTTCCTTTCTTTTTCCCTCTTCACCACAAGCTGGCAGCGGGAGGAGTAGCTGGGGTGGGGGGAACTCCTCTTTATTTTTGGCCTGATAGTGCCAAAAAGCAGCTCAGAAAACCCCGTGAGCTCCAGAGACACTGTGATGGCAACATGGAAAGAAATGGATCGTTATCCTTTGGGATCCAATCTGTAGGGAAACTGGGTGCTGTCATACACAACCTGTTTGCAAGGGGATACCAGGCGCTCTGGAGAGTGAGTGGCCTGATGATGAAGGGTCCAAAAGGTGACATTTCTCCCTATTTCCCCTTTTAGTTACTGGAAAGACCCAGTGGAGGTGGGACTGCCACAAACACGGACACAGTTATCAGGGCCGAGATAAGGATTACACAAAACTCAAGGACACTCAAGGCTGTTGCTGCTGCTGATTGAAGGAGCAGGGAGAAGTAGTGAACTGGGACAGCCTGACCCAGCGTGTCTTGGCACGGGTGCCCTGCACGGGCTGTGCCATAGCAGGCAAGTCCCCCCTTTGCCAGCTCCGTGCCAGGGCATGCTGTCCCCGCGGGCCGTGTCCGCTTCCATCCGCCCTGCCCCTGCCCGCAGAGCCCTGTGCCAGCCGCGGGGCCGAGGGGCGGCCCGGGGAGCCGGCCCTTGCCGGGTGTGTGCACCGGGGAGCGGGGCCCCACAGCGCTGTGCCAGCGGCACGGCGGCTCCGGGGGCTCGCCATCCACCCCGGGTCAGCTACATCCATCACACCTTGCTAGCGAGCCCGAATCCAGCCGCATTTAGGGCAACTAATAACAACCAACAGCACAGAGCGGCGCTGTACCTCGGTTTGCAGTAGCGAACAGGGAGGCAGCAGGGCCGGCTGTGGGCAGCGGGGCCCCGGGAGCCGCCGGCCGCGGGGCTGGGCTGCGCCACCGGCCATGGCGACCGCCGCGCAGCCAGCACCGCCGATCCCCGTGGCGGCACGGGAGCAGCCCCGGCAGCGGTCGGGGCCGGCTCCGGGCCCATGCCGCGATGCTCCCGGCGGCCTCGCACGCTACAAAGGCGGCGGAATCTTTAAGGGCCCCGCCGTCCCCTCGCGTCCCCTCACGGAGGCCCCGCCCCCCGCGCCTCAGCCCGCCAATGCTCCCGCGCGCCCGCCTTTCCCGCCCTTCCCGCCGCCCTCACGCCCTCACGCCCGCCCGCCCGCGGCGCAGGCCCGGCCCCGCG